AAAAAAAAACTCATCAACAACAATACCTAAGATTTTCTACATAATTAGAATGTTGTGCACTCAAATAACCGACCATCTTCACTGGAATTCTGTGCAAGAGCCCGAAGACTGGCCATGACAACATCTTCAAATCCAATGACAGCACGCATTACACGTCGAGAGAAAGCATCTCCAAAGCAATCTGAGTCTGCATCAACCTGAAACAGAAACGCAAAGCAGTGAAATACCACAAATTGACAACATTAACGCTTACCCTCGCCCACAGTGTGGTGATATTGTGCTTGTGTCGAAACGAGACAGGTAAGCGAAGAATTCCATAGAGAAGAGAGTACTCCACTCTGTATTCATAACGATACGCGTCTTCGGGCTCTGAAATTTGTAACCTGTTTCGTCCAAAAACAAGCGCATCAAAAGTATAAACCTACTGAAACGTTGACGAAAATGTTCACTAAATGCTGTTTCAGCGTCAATTTCCTGCTCGTAAACTGCACCAGAATATTCTTCACTTTCTTCGTAATCATCCTAAACAGAACGTTTGCAGATGCTGTCGTTGAAAGTGCAAACAAACATACGTAAGATTCGTAATCAGACGACTGCTCATTATTTAGAAGCAGCTCAGTAGGAACACGGAGGAAATAGCTCAGGAGACCTGATTCGCTGGGTGACTCATGTTCACTTTTCTCACTGTTCACTTTTCTTTGGTCACTTCCATCGCTCTAAATGAAAAAGAATTCCTTCTCTGAAATTTTGATGTACAAACTGGACGAATTACGTGATTGAACAGCCTTCAGGCTGTAGATGACATATACAGCAGTAAGCACATTTCACTTTAGAGTTGCAAAAAAATTGATATCAACTAATCTTACATTGTTTTGTGCCGGTATTTTCTCTGTCGTTTGCGGTCGTCCAGCTCGCATTTCGGCAGGAATTGCTTGAGGACCATAGAGAAACACATCTACTGGATTGAAATGACAGGTCATTCGCCGTCGCTCATTCTCTGCAAGGTGAAACGGAATAATGCAAATAACGTAGTAGTGTTTCGAAATGCCAAGAGATGTCATGCTTAAAGGCAGTGTCCAGGCAAATTTGGGGGTATGGAT